GACCTCTTCAGCATCATAAAAGGGTTCTGTAAACACATAATTTCTAGATCAGTCACAGTATTAATCATAAAAAGGGGGATTTCCCTGCAGTAAATAATAAAAAAGAATTACCAGGTAACAATAACGACTCCTCATCCATTGGATCGTCCTCATGGACTGTTGAAGCCGCACCCGAACCAGAGGTTTCCCCTTCAGCAAGATCTGTTAAAAATTTAAAACAGCTGTTAATCATGAAAAGGAAAATTAATAAGAAAAGTGTTTATACCTATGATCAGCGGATTCACATCATCCATTCTGCGCTTCGTTTATCAAAAACTTCTTTTTTACAAGAAAATTCACGAGTTGTTCTCAAAATTTCCTTGAGGAAAAATTATTGCAAAAACTTTGCTTGTTTACCCGTCTGAAAAGACACAAAAATATTAATAACAAATCTCACTTTCTTTAGTCCTCTAGGACGCCACTCACGAGTTCGTAATTTAAAAAATTCATAACCACGACTAAGGATCTGAAAGGATTTGGAGACTCGTTAACGGAATCTGGGAAAGGGAATCCGAAACCTATCATTTCAATTTCACACTTCTTGAAAAACTCATTCTTTCCTACAAGGTCTCCTTCAATCAATCTCAAACTATGAGCTTTGAATGATATCTCTTTATCATCGGAGAATTATTGCGGAGAATTATTGCGGAGAACTATTTTTCACACTTCTTGAAAAACTCATTCTTTCCTACAAGGTCTCCTTCAATCAATCTCAAACTATGAGCTTTGAATGATATCTCTTTATCATCGGAGAATTATTGCGAAGAATTATTGCGGAGAACTATTACAAAGAATCAATACGGGAAATCGTTACGGGAAAATAGCACAAAGAATCATAGCTGAAATGGAATCAAAGCTGAAACGAGATCAAAACCAATAAGGGAAAAGAATCAAACTGAAATGGAATTAAAGCTGGACGGGAATGAATATTGAACAGAATATTCTAAAATTTAATGAACGGAGCGCTCCTAAAATATCTCTGAAGTAATTCAAGAATTATGATTCAAATTGAGCAAATCTATTTTTTACGAGAATGGATCTCAGTCACGACAACAGCACCGACACGACGAAATGCGCACTACAAACAGGAAGTTTGCTCCTTTTTCCTATGTTTTTCTCAAGTGTTTTCCTTCTATCTAAGTAGGGCCTGGCCAGCCCGAAAAGAGAACTCTTTCTAATTTGAATTTTTGAAATTCAACCTTTTTTCACTCAGGGATAAATAGCTCTTCCTAGATCGCCGAAAGATTCCAACTGAACTCGAAAGCTCCGGAACTGCTGGTTTTTTATACTCTGTGGACCCTCTCAAGGCCTATACAACGGAAACTGAAGTCAAGACTTATCCAGTCTTTCGTCGAAACAAGTCAACCGGGGGGGGAAAATCAGTTAACCGGGGGGGGAAAACAAGTTTTACTATTATGCTGTTCCGAGAAAACCGGTCGTAAAAACGGAAGGGAATTGGCGGCGCGTCACATTTTTCGATTCGCGAGAACTTGTTTGCCGAGATTTACGAGCGCGCATGTGTTCACTTTTTCCGTCGAACTGACTCACTTCTAGTTAGCTTCACCTCTTAAATTGATGCACTTTCTCTCGTTTTTCGACGCACTTTTGTTTTTTCTGAACCATAAGTCTTTAAAAAAGATCAAAAACAAAAGGGGGGGTTTTTGTCGAAAATTTAGATGAGGGGTGTTTAGAAACACGAGATTTGCTAGGAATCGGCAAAAGACCGATAATCCTGAAGGAATCTCGTGGGACGAGGGATGACCTCGAGTTCCCACGATCTTCCTCCCAGAAAACGCGTCCTCTAAATTCGTTACGCTAAAAAGACCTTGCGATCCAAGGATATTCCTCGAATAAATTCAAAGGATTACTTTCCGGAAAAAACAGTATATAAGCAAAGAGATTTCCAATAAACAGACACAGTCCAGTTCAGACCTCGCGATAGTCCGACGATTTTGCGTTTGGGTTTTCGTTGCGTTTGCGTTGCGTTTGCGTTTGCGTTTGCATTTGCTTGGCGGTTAATTTATCATCTCGTTTTGGAAACTTGAGATATTAGCAGATATTCTTGCTTTCTCTGAAAAATATACCAATTTAAACTAGGACGCAGGTCCCGGCCGCAGCCCGGCTGATTATCTGGTTTTATTTACAATCCTTTCGTTTCGATTCATACTCATTATAAATTCCTCGATCCTTCTTTTTTCATCGGAAGGAAAATTCTAATTTTCTTTCCTTGTCTGAAAGCAGTGTAAAAATCTCTTTCTGACATATGGACCGGCAAGTCCTGTTAAACTTTTTTTGTGGACTGGTGAAAATTTCCAAATGCAGACCAGCAACGTTTTGTAAGATTGTTGCAGAAAGCTTTATGACAGGCATTTACAAGTTTTTGCTTTCTTTCAAAAATTGCAACATTCAATGAAGCATAGTGTAGCGGAATGTTTTCAAACAATTGAAAAGGTGGGCTTGAAGAAAGGTTTTTCAGACTCACATAATTAAAATTACTCATTTCCAGAGAGAAAAGCCAACTTGAGTTTTCTTTAAAAAATTCCAACTACCCTTCGTTCTTCCAAGGTGTCAGATGAAGATAACAGACTTCATTGCCATCAAGTTCATAATTTTACCTACACTGTTCCGAGAGGGAAGACAAAGAGGGTTCACCAGAAAAACCCTTCGGCTTTGCCAGTCATTAAGCCTCTGTGAAACCACCGCTTCTGGCAAAAAAAAGCCTTCGATTCCGCTGGCAGCAGAAAGATGAAAAAAAAAGAATGTTGATTGGAAGACGATGGTGTGGGGAGACAAGGGTGCACTGCCAAATGTCTGCCAGTTTTCTCTCCAATTTTATCCCTCCTCTGAATTTTTATCCAACTGTCCACTCAATCAGTAATGTGGCCTGGTGAAAAGGCAGCCTGTTGCAGGCCAGAATAAGCACAGAGTGCACAAACATCTGGAATTTTTGTTACTGTATGCACTTATTACCATGCATCATTGGGTAAGATGCACTACCCCAATTTTTTATTGTAAAACTTGTTTCGATTGTATCATCCCATTTTTGGCGACTCTAAGATGGCAATGTTCTCAAAATAAGTACAACACAATTTAAATTTAAGCATGGATATATAGAGCCTGAATTTTTAAATGTTTTCATTGCTTTCATAATTGAAGTATTTTTTTTTTTCAAAATTGGTCAAACATTTCTCACTTGAATTGAATATAATGCACATCCAAGCAGGTGACACTTTTTAAAAATTAGATGTTGAATGCTGTCCCAGTAATTCACACCAAGCCTCAAACCCTTAAACCCGGCGCCTCAGGAGAAAAAATTGGCAACCTGCTTAATGGGACTGCGGAATGAAAGGCGCTGTTTTTGGGCGGTTGGTACAAAGTCTCCCCTCAGGGAAAGGGCACAGATCACGAGCTGAAACTGGCGTCATTTTCCCTTCATCGCAACTTTTTGAAATTTATCACCCTTCAGAAAATTTCCCGCGGACCGGCAAAAGATTCTGCGGACCGGACGGTGCGGGTCAGCGGACCACGGGTTGGGGAACAATGGTTGGTTATACACCACATTGAAGTGAAAAATACCTCAACACTGTTGGTTCTCTTCCAAGCGGAAATCTACTGAATAATGTATAATGAAGGAGAACTGAGAAGGAAGGAATCACCACGACAGCAAATGTATACTGTAGTACGCGTGACGAACCTGCTGTGATTCCGGTCCGCCAATTGGATCCAGAGTGTGGCGGCACTTGTGGCGGTAGTAAGTCGCATTGCCGTCGACGTTCGTTTATTCCGACACGACGACCTCCTCGAACCGGAGCCACGTTCTCGTAAAAACTTGCTTCATCTTCGCGATCCGGAGTGATGGCCGAAGAAGGGCTTGAGTCAGCAGCACTGGGCACAATTCCTGAAAATATGGCATGCCCAGCATGAGTCAAAATTGAAGTCATCTTCTCATTCATTTTATGTACTTTTGAACAACTCCGAGGTTTCTTTTCCTCGTCTATACTGTATCTGAACTCCAATGACTATACATTTAACGATGAGTTATATAGTGATCAGCAAGAATGACGTTGGGATGAAACGCGAAAGTTGACCGAAAACAAAGACCTCCTGCTGTGTTTTTGGATAACTATATGTTTCCTTTCCTGCATGTCGGAAGGAGACTGCTGGACAAATCATGTATGCCATTCTCGCTGAAATATGAGACCGATTGATATCATCCCAATTACCTAACTTGAGTGAACGTGATTGCACAAGGGGAGGACAGTACAGCACAGCATTTTATGAATATATATATATATATATATATATATATATATATATATATATATATATATATATATATATATATATATATATATATATATATATATATATATATATATATATATATATATATATATATATATATATATATATATATATATATATATATATATATATATATATATATATATATATATATATATATATATATATATATATATATATATATATATATATATATATATATATATATATATATATATATATATATATATATATATATATATATATATATATATATATATATATATATATATATATATATATATATATATATATATATATATATATATATATATATATATATATATATATATATATATATATATATATATATATATATATATATATATATATATATATATATATATATATATATATATATATATATATATATATATATATATATATATATATATATATATATATATATATATATATATATATATATATATATATATATATATATATATATATATATATATATATATATATATATACACACCAGCGCAGTTACGTTCAGTGCAGTTCTACATTCGATTCACATTGTGTTTCTGCTGAAGCAGCAGCATATCATCATCATGAGGCCGGCATACACTTCCCTCAGTCTACAGTACAGTAATGCTATACAGCACTCTTCTCTGCTCGTCTGCATGCTCACCACAAGTGAAGGAAGACGCGCGCACCAAACGGCGCTTGTCGAGCAATAGATGAGCTGCTGATGCTGATGGTTTCTTGTTGTTGTTGTGCGTGAGGAAGACGCGTGTCGTCGTCTTGCCGGTGCTGGTCCAACAGGCGTCCACTTTATTCTCGTCGCCGTCGGTGGGTGACAAGTCGACACACTGCAGATGACGCGCCACCCGTTTCGCGACGCGGCTGTCGTCGTCGATCGGCGCTGATATCGAGACGGGCCCGGAAAGCGGGGCGCGTTTCACGCTGGCCGCTGCTGCTGCAGACGATGAGGATGACACCTTGAAAGACTCCATGCGACGCAGAATGGCCTTTGCACTCTCGCGGAACCGCTCACTGTTCGAGCGACGGAATGCCGTCGGCAAGGCGGACAATTCGCGCGACGACGGCGACGGCGGCCAACTGGGCCCAGTGCCGCATGACATGCCTGTCCGGAAGCTCCTCGGGCTGCTGTTGGTGCTGGACACCACGCTTTCCAGACTCCCTAACAGTATGCATAACAACAACAACAACAAGAAAAATACTGACTGTATTATTACCAAAGCTCAGATTGCATGGTTTTGTCTAAAGGACTCATTCCTATGTACAGTACTGTACAGGGAAACAATGGACAGTGCCGTACACGCACTATTCATGTACGATCTACGATCACGATATGAGGACCACCTGCGTCCAACGTGCCCGATACTGATGCTTCATGTGCAGCAATCATTTTGACAGCATTTCATCAGGACGGATGATAGAAGCAAGAGCGGAAGAGCGATTTCCCAAATGCATGGACTGGTTTTCAAGGCATCGATGCACCTTTATCCCATTCCGTTCAAAACAAGCGCAGACGCTTCAGGACTTTCAACGAGTATGATTACTGTACTGTACTGCATACGTTATTTTGCATATACTCGTATTCTTAATCCTCTTCGCGGACACGCGCGAAGGATATGCCAACTATAGGGGACATTTCTGTTGGAAATCTTTTGTCTTCCGGCTCTTCACCTGATGATGATTCCAAGAAGGCAAGTTATATTCGAATGAATGAAAAAAACCCCTTTGCCAAACTTAAATGGATGTGACTTTCATCATTCATCGCTAAGGCGTATACATGAGTGGAAGCAACTTCCACTTGTCCACAAAACCACATATTTACGGCACTATCAAACTGTCCAATTGATGCGGTTGACCTCATGGCGGAAAAAACCTATAGTGGCTCGCCCCACCTTTTTTATTGGTAATTGTGACAGATAGTCCAAGTCCGTGTGCAGCCTGAAGGATGGAACAGGAGAAGCAAAACAGGTGCAGTGATTCAACTCCGATGGGAATCAGGTGCTCCCTGCGAAGCGGAGTACTGTTTCTCAGGCATCTCAATTACAAAAAAAGTCCTGCACCCCTTTTAACAGGAGCTTTGCTGGATCCATTTTTTCTTCTGCCTAACCCCCTTCCCCCCCATCTTTCCCTACCTACTAAACAAGTTTGAGAGAGAATATGTTCTAGTGAATTTTTGTTGTTGATTCCACTTTCCATTTTAATCCCACGAGCCAGTGAGAGTCGCATTTTGACTGGGAACTTTGAGACTGTGCCTCCTTCCTATACTGTTCCTATAGGGATTTTTCATTAGGAAATCTCAATGTTTCTAAGAAATATCTGTTACACTGAAAATGGAGAGTTTGTCGAAACAAAATTTTCATGACATGTGCCCATCAACAAAAAACTCCGGGTGACATTCTTGAACCTTTCCTGATTCAAGTTGCACAGTAAAAATTCCAAGTTCACTTGCCCTATGGTTGCCACATATGCAAATTATTAGCCCATTGGCAAAGTCCAAAACGCTTCCATTGGGGGAAAAAATAGTGAACTTTTTTCTAGTTTGAAATAGTAAGACATAAAGTCTGAATCCTCTAGAGGCAAGGTAAATTCCTAGAAACCAGAAAATATTCTACTTTTGCAGATATATTTTGTCCAAGCATCTGTGGGGGAGAAAAGTCACCACAACACAAGGTTGAAGAGAATTTCTGTGGATCACAAGTCGAGAGATATTCAAACAAAGCAGATTCGGTCCAGGACACAGGCTTGAGATTTGCAGTAGAATCCCTAAAGCCTAAATTAAACATATTTTCATTTCTCCCGACAACACGACTTATAAATGAGATAATGACTTCGGAGGTTTGAAAAACTCACAACAACCTCTCTCTCTCAAAAAAACCTTGCTTGAACTTTGTGAATAATGAAAATTGGAAAATAAAGCTTGCTGTTCAATCCTTTTCAACAAACTCTCAGCAAAGCTTTGCAATGACACAACCATTTCTGACAACAGTGAACAGTGGAATGTCATTAGGGTTGTATCCATTGGGGCTTTTATCAATTCCTCCATCTTGTCCTTGATCCAGCACTCTGATCAAGGACAGGAAAAATCTTAAGGCCTGTGATTGGCCCACGAAAATCTCGGCCCCAGAACATTGTGTTTTTATTTGGGAGAGGGAAAGACGTTGCCTGTTTCAACCAGACTTTTTCCTACTTGTCTATTTTTCCACCCAATTAACTTTTACCTCATAATTAATTGGAACTGTACTTCAATTAATTGAGGGATGCGGCGAGTTCTCAACAGCATCCGAAAAATGGGATGGTTGGCAGGCAATGAATTAACTTGCACTTTCTCCACCAACCGTAGTTTTTTGTAAATATGCATGCAAGAAAACTCCTCTTTTCAACCTTGTAAACAGTTCTCCACAATGGCTTCACCAAAAACGCAACAAAACAACTTGGTTACTTTCAAACTACTGTACAAGTGATTGAATTCTTCTATGAGCATTCATAGTAAATACAATTTTTCAAGCACTGCACTGTACTACATATACTGAGACTTGCGTGCGGTGAATTTCTTTTTGAAGTTTCCGTTGTAGACTCAGATCCAAACCGTACCAGAGAATCTCAGCTACCTCCCAAATTTTTGTGTGGAGACTTGGACCCACGTGGCGTATCAAACTGGCGTATCAAATTCGGGGTTCAATCAAGTCCAAACAAAATAAACCTCGAAAAGTAACGAGCGTCAACAGTCAGGATGACAATACCATACTAGATGCCTCCATCCGCTGGAAAAAGGGAAAGAGGAAGAAAACTTCAAAAGAAGAAGAGAACTGCGGAATATGTAGCGCACTCTCACAAAGGAAGGAACGGCCACAACTCAACTCATTGGGATATTTGTTGAAAATGCAAACCAAGCATCAACAGTCTTGTGCTTCTGAAACTCGTGAATCTCTGAAATATACTTTTCGGAATAGTTTGGCATTCAATGGAGTTCTGTCCCAAGGACAATTGGTTGTGTGAATCAATCTTTCTTGGAAATCTTGCGCATACGGTACTTTTACTCACAACAACTACTGCGTTTTAGAGTGGGATCAGCGTGCAACGCATTGTTGACTCCCCCATCCCACTTTATAGATTTGACTTCAGTGATTAATCGAGGGTCTCCAGGTGTCGACTATTTTTCGAGCATCGCACAAGTGCGGTTTTACCACGCTCACAGAAGAGAATTTTTTTTTTTTTTTTCTTTTTCTTTTTTTTTTTTCTTTTTTTTTGTTTTTGTTGCAGGAACAAAGCAGGGCCTCGAGGAGCGAGGTTTCTGAAAAGTGTCTGGAGCCCTGGAGCAGATGAAACTCTGCTCTTATACTATACGAGTGCCTTCAGGGAAACCCGAGTGGTGCTGCATATGGCCGGGAGAGTTTGAGAGAATCCATTATATTTTCCGTTATTGAGAAGATATTTTTGAGACGAATGGGGATATGAATGTTCGAAGCGGTTACCAACTTATTTTCTCTTCCGATGGATTGCTTTTTCATTTTCTTGCAAGATATAAGAAATAGCGATTGCCTTCACAAAAACAAGACTTATGTACTGTATGACGAAATCCCTTGCTCTTGCTCTTCGGTCGACAAGCTCGTCATTGAATATTAATAGCTTCCTGAATACCATTTGGCATGGGTACAAATCATGGAAACATGGAAACATGCATTCTTGGGCGTTTCTCTTTATTTTTTCTCGTGTGACGTGCCAGCTGCTTCAACAATGGTCAGACATGAGTAAAAATAAATAGACTCGAGTCAGGTCTCACAATTACAGCTTTATCAGAAATTATAAAAAAAGAAATGGGACGATTGGTTGAACAAAGCGTGAAAAGCTGACGTTAGGATGAAATTTTCCCAAGGAGAAGATACCTCATGTTCATGAACGAGGACATTCAAGAGACTTCTATACTGTATTGCAGAATGTCACACCGCAACCCATACGTGAACTATTGAAAAGAATGCCATCACACTTCAAATATCGGTGCAGGCGTCCGTCCGCGCTATGGAAAGGTCCGAGAAAATCATCCCTTTTCCTATTTTGCTTTTGATCCGCAGGTGCGCTAATAATAAATGCCCGTATTTTTTTCGAGTACAGTACCACGCACCCTGGGGTAACAGGCGCACTTAAGTTTTACGGGCATGGAATTTGCCCTAAAATTATCCCCCCCCCCCCTGACGTATGACGCGCATTCAAGTTTTTGCGGGGTTAAAATACTTATTTATCTTTCAAACAATGGGGTTTAAACTTAATATTCATGTCATTTAGAATTTCCTGCTCACAATTTTCTCCGATAAGATCCCCTCATGACTTGTACCACTGATTTCCTGAATTTTTTTGTTGGTTTCAAAATAATCTATACCCGCATACCACTATAAGCACCACCCCACTTTTCTGCCTCGGTTCTGGAAAAGAACGGGGCGCGTGCTGGTACTCGGGTGAGTACGGTAGGTAAAACTCCCACAATTCTAGCTCAGGTTCTTCATTGAAATTTAGAAAACCTAGCATTATTCAACACATCATTTCTGTCTTTGCCTCCACTTCTTTTGCATCTGTAAATTTTGACCAATCCGGGATCACCAGTATACATTCCGCAAGGTTGATGTTAGTTTTAAATTCATTTCAATGTATATCAGCGATTGAAGAAACCCTGTTGTACCATTCTCCGCACTTTCAGTTTGTTCACACAAGACCATCGGTGTCAAGACCAGTCCACTGCTTTATGCTTCCCCTACTACCATTGCCACTACTGGTACTGGTAGTGCAAAGGTGAACATTGGTAGTGGCAGGTTTCCAACTGGATTGTAGGTTTAAAAAGGAAAAAAAGAAGAAAATAAGGTTTCAACTGGATTGTAAATTTTTCAAACTGAAATAGGTTTTTTTTTCTTCCTTTTTTTTTACTTTTTGCTCAACAGGGAATGCTGGAATGGTAATCCTGTCTTACACTGAGGGGGAAGTGGGAGTTTCAGGATGTGGGGAACCGGATTCTCCATCCCCTGCTTTCCTGGTTTATTTTCACGCTCATGTTGGAGTATCAAGTATCCCCGTAACGAGTTTTTGTAAAAGCAAAATTTCATTACCTCCTAAAATCAGGAAACAGCAAGGTTTTAAATGTTCTCAACTCCAAAGTCTGAACACTTCTTCTACCCCACAGTTCCAGGGAGTTTTTTTTTTTTCCCTGCTGCCAGCAGCTAGAGGTGGGGACATTTGATACTCCAGTGAGATGACAATAAGTCAGGATGGAGTATCCCACTTCACTCAGCACGGCTCACCCTTCTCCCTCAGTTCCCCCTACCATCTCAGGTATCCCCTTCCCCCTCAGATTTAGAAGAAATTACCCTTCCCTGACCAACAAAAATTAATAAAAGAAAAGGAGAGAAAATAAGAAAATCTGTCCCTGAAAAGGATTTCAAGTGAAAATTGAAAATTATTTCGGAGAGTTTTTCAAGCTTTAAAAATTTAAAACCCATGAAGATTTTCGTGAAAAACTCTGGAAAATTATTCCTGTTTTAGGCATTGATGATTAGTTGGATTTTTTTATTAATGCTTCATTTTTGAGTTATACATCCTTCATTTCAAGAATCTCATAAAAGTAGAACTGGCCACCTACTTACAAAAGTGTTCAAGTCATTTGATTGATGTTATTACTTCCGTGAACATTGACTGTGATGAAAAAAATGATCGCGACCTTTAGTACATTATAGAATAAGTGAGATCCCTACTTCTGTGGATGTGTCTCTCCAGGCATTATTCATCTTTCCTAAAAATCTGTACTGTATAGCAGAGCACATCCCCCTTTCCCATTTTCTCAATGCATCTTTCAAACAATAGAGTTTTGTAAGAATAAAATAGTCTGTGGCTCAGCTGTTGAGAGTTTGAAACAAAACCGAACCGAATCTGCAACGGATTTTTCCTCCCACTGAAATTGCTTAAGTTTTCAAAATAAAATTAAAATGAAAAAAGTGAAAAAGTTCCAATAGGTCAACTGGATATTGATTGCTGCAGTAGTAGTGTGAAAATTCAACCAAGTTTGTACAGAAAATAATACTGTAGTTAGAAATATTTGTAAAGCAATAACAGTATTTTAGTATCAGTGGTGTGAAATTGTTTTAAAATATAGTGGTAGTGGGATTTTGTCTTTCAAGATGTAGCGGTAGTGAATTTTTGGACAGGTAGTGGTAATGTGAAAAAATTTATTTTCGAGTAGGGGGAGCGGTTCATTTTTGGAGTATGGGGGTGCCGATATTGACTTCTTTTTTCTCCCCAAGGGTGTGGAAGTGTAAAAATGTTCCCAGTAGCAACCTGTGCACTTGACAGAGACAGTCCTGTCAAAGTACTACATTCAAGGCTTCAAAAACAGGATCTTGGTTCTTTAAAAGAAAAAGATTCACGAAAAGCGGTGACTTTAGATGCACACATTGATATACTGGATAAGTTATAACGCATGAGTAACTCTCACCTACCATCAGGATATAACAATTCAAAAAAATCACTCTGCTCATTTCCGGACCACCGTGCATGAGCAGGGAAATGATTAAAAAAAAAAAACGATTTCTCCTTCAGTACAGTAGTATGATGCAAGCAGAGCAGTTGCATTGTTTACATAAGCAAGTACTGTACTGTACTGTATTGTATTGAACGACCAGATCACACAGTTCCCAACTGAAAGGCGGTGAAGAGAGGAACAGTGCGGCAGTGCGACATACCACTGGGAACGGCGAATGACTTGTCCGCTTTCCTGGCTACCTTCAGTGAGGGAAGCAGAGTCTGTGGTCGCTTGGCCATGCTGGGTAGGAATAGGTGGGGGTTGTGGTGGACACGTTGCTGCTGGTGGTCGCCGATGACCCCTCTCCTCCGAGCCACCCACCTCCGGAGTTCTTCTCGGTATTGCCAATTATGGGGTGGCGGCCGTTGGCCTGCTGGCTCCTCTGCCTGACTTTCCCCCTGCATGATGGATGACAGCATTTGAGTACGGTAGATAGTCACCACTTCAGTCCGACGTGAACATCCAGCAGGTATACAGAAATATTCAGTACACTCATCTATATATACGGCTAAGGAAACAAGGGGACAAGAATATATCAAAGTAGAAACCTGATCATGGGGAACATCCCCTTAAAAACATACACTAAATTTTCCTCGGCATCTTTTCGAAATTATGGGACAGCATTATTAGGGTGAGACAAGTATATTGCGACCAACAGACAGTAACAGTACAGAGCACTGTACTCCGGACTTGAGAGTGTGTGTGTGTGTGAATGTGTGTCCCTCCCTCCGCCCGCCTGCTGGGGGATTCATCATCTTAATTCATACAAATAAAATCCACAATCTTGACGAGCGGAGGTCAAGCCTCGTCACCGCGAATAAGAACTGAGCTCGTCGGTAACAATCTTAACAGTTGATCACTGGTACAGTATTTTGAAATTGTTCCATTCAATAAAATCAAATGACGACATTCCGTTTGTACACTGCTCTCGTGACGAGGTACACGGTGGAGTATCCACTGAAAAAGCACATCTTTCAACACGAAAAAAAATGACAAACCGGAAATGGTCTCGTGTCCATCCTCATGTCGGCACATTGGCCCAGCGTGTGGAGTCTTCGGAAAAGTGACTCCAGGGCGTCCCGATCCAGCACAGGGAGTTCTCTCTCAGCCACACTGGGGTCCATGGCAAATCGGTCATCTGCGCACAAAATGGGGGAAAAAAAAGGGTTCCACATATACATTCCAGCAATTGACTTTAAAACATCCATCGCCAAGCCAATCCATTGCGTGACTGTGAAATCCGCGCGCAATATTTATAAACACTATGTGGTTATACACACAGTACAGACCGGAGGTACATTTAGCATTGAACTCGTGGAAGACGAAAAAAAAAAAAAAAAAAAGAGACGTCCCCGCTGGTTGGAGGAAAATTTAGCATTGAACTCGTGGAAAAAAAAAAAAAAAAAAAAAAAAAGAGACGTCCCTGCTGTTCGGCTCAACTCCAGTAGGGTTGAAACATAATTCACCCATGTACAGAACAGTATACCGCAAAAAAAGGAAAGTCTTGAGGAGAAAGCTACCCGTCAACGCATTGCCAATAAATGCATAGACTCGTGGAATACTGTATCCAGTAGTGTAGTGTACTGTATGAGGCGTCGTATTTACTAATAAGGGTCCCTCAGCCACAGCCACTGCATGTGGTATCAGAGAGAGGGTAGCAACACAAACCGGATCAGGGCCGGGTGGAGGGCAAGACCCGGCAGACGACTGTTGCAGTGCCACACAGCCTACCGTGCGTGTCATTCATTGTCTCACAGGATGTCAGGAAACCCTGAACCCGGGTCTCATGTGTTTGCACAGTCCCACAGGGGAAATTTTTTCTATATGGCTTGAAAGGATATATAGGAAAGTCAACATTCCCCGGCATCCACAGGGACCATCCCAATATAGGCATAACTTCAATAATGCATGCATGCTGAACGTGGACATTTGAACTAATCCCAGAGAGTGGTCATCCTCTGTTTTCTGCTTCGAGTGCAAATGATGGATTTGAATTAAACAGACGCTGTCATTTTGTTATTGCTTCCCCTGGTCTATCACACAAGGTTATTATGCTTCCTATTGCTTCTCTTCAAGATGTCCGGAAAGTTTTTGGAGAAGTAAATGTGGTGAGGGTTTGGGATGCCAAGGAACAAGCACAAAATTAGGAATACTGTGCCGAGAAATCCTCTTCAAATCCCCTAAATTGGAGTTCCATGAAACTGGAACATTTTTACAAAGATTTGACTACTAATTGATGAATTTAATGATCAATTGTGTATTGTAGTCATATTTACGACCACAACACCCTTCACTTTACGCGTGACCCTTTTAAGCTAATGTATTTCCGCTACGCTTGGCTGCGCCTGGCGCGCTAGTAATTATATTTCCCAATCCTGTTGTTGATGGAATTCTTTCTCAACCGCGCTCACGCTTCCTTCCTTTAAAAGAAACGAAGCGTGACGTCCCCGATTGCTAGTAATTATATTTCCCAATCCCGTTGTTGACGGAATTCTTTCTCAACCGCGCTCACGCTTCCTTCCTTTAAAAGAAACGAAGCGTGACGTCCCCGATCCGAATTGCCTCTCTATGCGCGTCCCGTGGCCGTGGCCAGCCGAGGCTATATATACAGGTGCATTTTATGTTACTTTAAGTTGATCGCACCAGACCTTGTCCGAACGCTGACTCTATGCCGCTTTGCTCTGTAGAACGTATTGTTATCAACTGTGTGTGAAGATAAATAAATATCATTTTGAAATACTCTCATGGAGTAACTTTTGCATTTCCTTCGAAAGTCGCAGAAAACGATTTAAATCTCCGATCCCCATTTCCTTTAATTATTAGAAAGAGTTCTCAACGACTGATCATCGTTGATCCCTCATTCGTAAAATAGTTTTTGGATAACAAATTTGGCGCAGTCGGTAGTTTTCTTTTTCGGGGGTGAACGTATTGTTATCGACTGTGTGTGAAGATAAATGAATATCATTTTTGAAATACTCTCACAGAGTTGCTTTTGCGTTTCCTTCGAAAGTCGCGGAAAACAATTTAAATCTCCGATCCCCTTTTCCTTTAATTATTAGAAAGAGTTCTCAACGACTGATCATCGTTGATTCCTCATTCGTAAAATAGTTTTTGGATAACAGTATTGTGCCACATGGTGCTTCAGAAGGATTCCAGGTTTCTGGCCAAAACATGCAAGACATATGGGCTTTCACACTGGAATAAGGCTCAGGTCCATTGACAGATTCAACTGAATCTACTGGATTCTTTTGCATACTTTATTTGAAAAAAAAAAAACAGATGAGAACAAGATTGGGTCAAGTTTTAAATCAAGACTCCCAAACAAATGAGCTGTCTACTTGCAGCAGAATTTCTTTGTCATTGTTGTGTAAATGGGTGCAACATACATATATGGTACAGCATTTCAAATTGTTGATCAGACAAATCAATGTCCATTTTCAAATTAGTTCAACCAATTATTGATGTGGGGTTGGAGATTTCAATCATTTTCCACAAGCTTGCAAAGAATACGAAGAATGCTCTGAATATATGTTCCTGTACCAAGCGCTTTATTCAGTCTTTTCACACAATAAGAAGAATACTTATTGCAGAGCAAAGCAACAACAAGGTTCTGTAGCAAAGTCCAATTGTACAGTAGTAAGCTTGCTTCAATGTAGAAAACACCTGAATTTATAGATTTGTAGAAATAATGGAGGCCACCATTGTGCATGGTCACCAACTCAAATTCGTGTCAACATACTTTGTTGCACAGAAAACAAAGGAAGGAGAGTGATTTAAAAAAGGCATTTCTGAATAACAGAGAAATGTAAAGTGCAGTTGTGCACCAAGAGTAGCAATGCAGAAGGGAAGTGAATTACCCAGGGAACACTCCAAAGTGCTGTTTATGTTGTAGTCACAATTCATTTGACTACGCCACAGTATATAATTTTTTCATTTGCTAAAATATCTGGAAAGTCCAACCACTGAACTGAACAAGAAACCTGTGTCTTCATGGTTGTTGAAACTGGCAATGGAACAAAAAGAAACGTTTTAAAAACCAAAATATTCAAAAAATATTGAAATTTCTCAAGAGCCATCTCTCAACTTGGGGTTACTGCGTTACTGGTGCAAAGTTATTCGGTTGCGGTCAAAATCTCGTCGACCAAAAATCAAAAAAGAAATGATATTTTCTGCATAAATTACTTGGATTAAGAAAAAGTGAGCCTGTTCTGCTCACCTAAAATGAAATCGGAAGCTGAACGCATGCAGGACCATCCATCGAATGACCCAAGACGAGCTGATCTAGCATCGCTCAAATGTGTCTCCAAAATGTGTTTGCACCGTTCGAAGGAAGTACAGTATAAGCAATGAAAAATAAACTGAAGAGGCTTTGCATTCACGGAAACACCTGACACGGAAACAAGGATACATATCACCAGGGAGTTGAAGGTGTTTTTTCCATAGTGATGTAACGGCAGAATACATTGGACAGCTTCAACAATTGGGAACTCTGCATGGGTTGCATAGTTGTATATCAAGTTCAGGCCCAACAACGGGAGTTATTGGATGGTATTGGAGAAAAACATGCACAAGGACCTCACAGTTTCCCTGCATTCAAATACAGTCCTGTAGTTCCCCTCTCCTATATAGCGGCACCACTATAGACCCTGCAGTGGAATAAAAAATAACAAGAAAAATCAAATGAAAAAACAAAGAAATAGAAGTAAGTAGCACCAGGTAATGCAACCATGCCAACGAGAAGCATGTGATCTCATGGAGCACGGTTCCGCGCGTGCTGAGTCAAGCTCCACGCTCCTTGATGCCGAAAAATGAACCGGTCATGCAGGGGGGAAACCTAAATCCCGAAATTTCAAAAGCAGTTTTCTTTCCTCCTCTTACTTCCAACTGTTTTTTTTTTCTTTTTTCTTTTTCTTCTCCGGCTTCATCTCACCATGCCACAGCAGTGATGGCAGAAATAAACAAGCAGGTGCATGCATATAGTACAGTACAGTATATACACATGACAGTACATGATGCCTTTTTTTTTTATTCCAGGAAACCACAAGCGCGAGTGAGACTCGATTCACTCACTCACTCACTCAGGGAATGCTGGATTAGAAGGAAGGGAGCCGGATAACAGGCTTGCTTAATTGGCCAGGACAAAGAATAAAATAAAATGAAAAATTGACAAGAATACAATAAAAAATAATAATAATAATAATAATAATCAAGTGCCAGGGACATGGAAAAGAAAAGCGCAATCTGGGTTCAAGGAAGATTAAACTTATTGGTCCAAGAGAACAACGAGGAGCCAAGAAGCCTCCGAGTTTCAGCTCGTTTCCTTGAAGGGTGCTATATACAGTACAGTACCCGCATCAAACACCTCATCCGCAGTTGCACTGTACAGTAACCTCATCCCTCAATTTCATCCCAGAAAGAAAGAAAGAAGAGTAAGGAACTCCCTTACAGCGACATCTATCCAGGCATGCGGGACTCCCGTGTCATCCAGCTTACCCACCTGTTCTAACCGGAACCCCCGGAAGGAGGGACCAGAGGAGAGGTGGAAGCAGCAGGGAGCCCCAATCGTCACTTCGCTCCGAGATCTCGACTAGAGCACTTCTATCCTTTTTACTGTGTGACTTGTGACTCTTTATGTTGTTGGTGAAATCAAATACGACTATTTAAATTGTGACAAGAGGCCGAGGGCATTTATTTCTGCATCAAAACCTTATTGGGGGCTCGTCCGGTCCGAACCCTTCAACCTTGATCGACTCTTGTTCACAACCGAATGGTGCGTACTACTGAGAACTCTAAAGCCGCCGCGTTGCCCTACGTTCCGCCAAACGCCAACCCAATGCACAACGCTGAAACCCCTGCGGAAGCCGCTCCGGGAAACGCCCCGGCTCCGAAGCCCGCTCCGTTACCAGCGCCGCAGACGGGATGGGAATTGGTGCCAGTGCCCACGCTCAAGTATCTAATCCACGCATACGAGCTCAGCCAACCCGCCGGCAATGAACAACGGCATCTCATCGCTCTTCTTCAGCAGAACCTAATCCCCGCCATGCTCGCACAGGGCTGGCTGCCACCACCGGGCTGGCAATCTCAAGCAGGGCAGTCCCCACATGCTACGCCGTGGTCCTTCTTCCCCGCTCTCAGCGGCTCGGCATCACCGGCTACGCCTACGACTCCTCAGCTACCGCCCCTGCCAACACGGAATTCCGGTGAGCTACAACTTTCTGAACTACCCAAGCAGCGCGACGACGAACCGTTCGAGGATTACGCCGAGGGCTTACGTCGCATGCTGGCCATCGACAACGTCACCCTCGGCATGAAAGTTTGGTGTCTTCTCCACAATACCTTGCCCAACATCCAGGCATCAGCAGCGATCCTGTTCCGCAAAGGCCACGTCGAATTCGAGGCCCTAGCAACAGCGCTTGCTCGCGCTTACCCCACACCGCATCTGGACCGGTTGGACCAGTTCCGTCAGGCTCGACTCAAGTCCGGCGAGAGCTTCGTCAACTTTGGAGAACGGCTGGAACACTCGTTTGACCTGTTCACGGGAGCAACCCCCAACAAACCTCTGTCCGCTGCTGACATCCGCCAAAAAATGCTGATCGACCAACTCCTGACTGCCGTTTCGGAAGACCTGCGGGACGAGCTTCGTGAGAAATGGTCCGACGACAAAAACCTGTCTTGGGAGAAAGCCCTAGAGGAAGCTGAAAAGTTCCGGCTCCACAAACACGCCACCGCAAAACCGGCTCCGA